TCACACACTCACTCTCACACACACTCTCTCACACACACACTCACTCAACTCTCTCACACACTCGCACACTCACACACACACACTCATTCTGAAACAGTCAAAACAAAACACACATTAAATCAAGCATATGTTATCTAATGTGTGTTTTGTTCTGACTGTTTCAGAATGAGTGTATCATAATAGAGTAGTGTCATATTTTCTGCAGTATATAGTATTTATTATTAATTTTTTTGTCTTATTCATTAGTCTATATAGTTTTTATTAATTTGTATTTCACTTTTTAGTGCATTAACTTAAATATATTGTCTTGGCAACTAGCTAAAAATAAATTGTGTTTCAGTTAAAGGGGTCATATGATGCGATTTCAATTGTTCCTTTCTCTTTGGAGTGCTACAAGCTCTTGGTGCATGAAGAAGATCTGTAAAGTTGCAAAGACTAAAGTCTCAAATCCAAAGAGATATTCTTTATAAAAGTTAAGAGTCAGCCACGCCCCCCTAAAACGGCTCGTTCTAACACGCCCCCACATGTCTACCTCACTATGCACTTCTGTTGTGTGATCTTTGATGTTCACTCACTTTAGCACACGCATCATTTGGATGAAAATGAAATCGTAAAAATAAAACCGTTTATAGGGGCATTCACTATAAACATCATTTATTTTCAACCTTAGGCATACACGACTTTCTGGCGAATCTAGCAGCCAGTGTGAAATGCGCTAGTCTGTACTGTTCTGCATCAGTACAAATACGTGCAGTTTTGCTTGCTTGAGTGTTTCTGCATTATATGAGTGGCTTTGGAATATAAATCGCAGCACGTTTCAGATGAAAAAACGCGACTTCTATTTCTGAAAATCTCACAGTTGGGAGATTTATAAGGAGTGGTTCCCTGCATTATAACAGCAAAGCGCGTGATTACAGTACTGAGCCGCTGCAATGGAGCAGCTCTAATGCTATTACAGTAAAGATGATGTGCCACAGAGCAAAACAATGAACAGTGAAAGTAACAAAAACTTGTAAAATACATTTTAATGGGCATAATTAAGTGTGAAAATAACAGAAGGATATACAGTGAAACCAAAAATTATTCAAAAATTATTATATAATTTTTGATATATTTTTACTAGTGGGTGCAGGACACTATAGTTCATTTATGGAAGTGAGGATAGCAAAATAAAGTAAACTGTGACAAATCATACCCAAAAATTCTTCATACAGTGGACTACCAGTAAATTTTGGGACCAAAAATTATTCAGTCCGAGTCTGGGGAATAAACTGAAGTTGAGGTTTGCATGAAGCTGGGTGACAGCATGCCCAGGAGACTACAGGCTGTCATTGAGGCTAAATACCATCGGTATCGGGTGAGTACTGGAAAAAGTGGTATCGGTGCATCCCTAGTAGTAATCATTGGTTAAGATTTATTTATAACAGAACAGCACAACCCAGATGTTCGAATTTGTGCAACGCATTTTATGGACGACAGTTTTCTGAAGCTAGAATAGTACAAGGCTGGCTGTGCACAAAGGCTATTTCTAAAAAAAATTAAAAAAGGGTAAATTCCGACTTTGCTATGACAATCTGGCGCTTCTGAATCAGCGACTGTAAGTATGTTTTGTTATTAGTTTAAGTATTTGCTATTGACTGTTCAAATGCGGAGTTTAGCGCAGCGCAGAGTAACGCGTCGTGTGTGTGAGTGTGTGTGAGCGTGTGTGAGTGTGTGTGTGAGAGGGGAACAGGGTCACATCACAGGAGAGTGAACTGCAGTCAGAAATCAGCACGTCAGCTGTCTTAACCGCGGCTTGTGTTCTGCATCATCACTGTGTCTGTCACGCGACTCTGTTGCCCTTTCGGGCTTGAACTGATGGTAAAACTAACCACATTATTAACTGTCTTGATATTTACTTTGAAAGATGAAGCTGGTGATTATGGTAAGGGGCGTTACATTTCCGACGCGTGCTTGCGGTGTTCGGCCAATCACAATGCACTGGGTCAGCTGGCCAATCAGAGCAGACTGCGCTTGTCAAAGGAGGGGGCTTTGTAGAAAACGAAGCGTTTGAGAGAGGCGGGGCATAGAGGACCTACAATAATGTACCGTATTTGAAAAATAATGAGTTGTTTGAACATTAAAGCATGTCAACATATTCTCTTACACCAAATACACAAAATAAGTATCTTTAAAATAGCATCATATGACCCCTTTAATGTTAGTAATGTTGTATTCCAAGTAACTAAAATGTTTTTTTTATGATTTTAGTTTAGTTAACTGTAATAACCCTGACTATAACACAGCTTTTCTCACTATTTTACTGTATATGATGGAAAGATATTCAGAATTAAGTACATATGTATATAATTTAATCTTAAAATGTTTACCCAGAGTATGTGATTTTTGCACACGTGTGGTTTTTATTATAAAATGAAAACAAACAAAAAACTCTTTAGTACCTTAAATTAATATGTCATGTGTTTTATTTTAGGAAAGCATGAACTGTGCACAATTGGTGGCTGACTAAATACTTTTTTGCCCCACTGTATATACAGTACCTTGAATGCAATGCAAGTCGTTTTTGATAATGCATTTACCAGATGCATAAATGTAAAATGCATATTGTGTCCTTTACTATTAGGCAGCGCAGTATTTAGATGTTACTAGTATTGTGTTTTAACACTGTCCCATCTCTGCTCTTCAAGAACGTTCCTCTTGCCCAAAGACATCGCCCCCTACTGGCCAAACAAAGAGAAGTACGGCCGGCCAATCAAACGCGGTGGCTTCGAGGAGGGCATGTGGGAGATCGAGAACGACCCCGGTGTGGGCCTCAGAAGTCAAAAGGTCAGTGTTTATAATAGTTTTATTAGAGGTGTAACGGTACACAAAAGTCACGGTTTGGTATGTTTTCATTATGGCAAAGGGAGAAAAAAAAATAAAAAAATTTGTAAACAGTGGTTTACTGAACCAGACTTAAAAGTAATAGTCCACCCAGAAAAGAAAATCCCAAGATGTAGATGAGTTTGTTTCTTCATCAGAAATTTAGGGCTGCGATGATAAATCGATGCAGAATTGATTCGTGGATTGATTCTGAGATTTCCGAATGCATGGTGATTCTCTCTGGAATCGATTCTGAGCTTAGATTTTAACAGCAGATGGCGCTCTACTCTAGTTTTTATCCGCACACTCACACATTAATGAAGAAGAGCTGAAGAGCACTTGTGTGTTCGGCTGAGTCTGTAATTTCACCTCGGCTCAGAATGCTTTTATGACGCCAGATTAATGTAAACACCGCCCACTGTGAACACCCTTGTGATTCGCTTGTACCTTTTCGAACTTTATGAATGATTATTTTAGGTTCACGTGTGTGTAAGGATTTGGCTGTTTCTAAAGCATGCAGCGCCATCTGCTGTTCACAACTATAAGCTCAGAATCGACTCGAGAAAGAATCGCCATGCATTTGGAAAATCTCAGAATCGATGCGGAATCATTTCTCGATTCGCGATGCATCGATTTATTTTCCCAGCCCTAATAGCATTACACCAATGGATGCTCTGCACTGAATGGGTGCCGTCAGAATGAGAGACCAAACAGCTGATAAAAATATCACAGTAATCCACAGCACTCCAGTCCATCAGTTAACATCTGGAGAAGACAAAAGCTGAAACACACCCAGCATTAAGATGTTTTTAACTTCAAACCATTGCTTCCGGCAATGGTTTGAAGTTAAAGTCCATAGTCCATTAAAGTCCATAATCCATAATAACGCTTCCTCCAGTGAAAAAGTGTTCTGGTGTGAATCAGGAGAGAAATCTGCACAGATCAAGCAGCGTTTAAACAGCTCTAAACAAATATGTGGCTGGATTTTGGTGTGAGAGACAACAGCAGATGCACTGGAGGAAGCATGAATGAATTATAGACTCGGATTTTAGACAGAAGCGCGATGGTTTGAAGTTAAAAACCATGGATTTGGTACACATGCATGCCGACGCAAAAGACTTGAGAGCCAAAAATTCCCAAATACTTTATTCGCAAAAATTTTTTACAAATACATGTACCGTCACACCCCTCGGTGTCACAGTTTGTGATGTTCGCTGTTATAAAGCCCCTGGAACATGAGTTCTGTGTTTGTGACAGAAAGCAGCGCTGGTGAAGCGACTGTCAGAGAGTCGACCGAAACTGAAAGACAGCACGAAGAAGAAGAACGCAGATAATCAGAGCGAAGCCAAGAACCAGACCGCATCCCGTAAGGAGTCAGCAGCGACGCCTCGTAAGAAAGAAACTCCTGTGAAAACCAGCAAAACAAAGTCTGAATCCGTCGCGCCGGCAGACGCTAAAACAACTGTGACGAGATCAACACGCTCCAGAGATTCGGTGACAAAGACCGTCACGCCAGACGAGAGACGGACAGATAAAGTCACGCCAGACGAGAGACGGACGGATAAAGTCACGCCAGACGAGAGACGGAAGGATAAAGTAACGCCGGATGAGAGACGGAAGGATAAAGTCACGCCAGACAAGAGACGGACGGATAAAGTCACGCCAGACGAGAGACGGACGGACGAGAGAC